AATTATTAAAAAATATAAATTAATTTAATAAAGTATAATACAATTATTTTATGAGATTTATTGAAATTATTTAAAATGATTAAAAGCAAAACCAATATGTATTTAAAAAAAAAGTGAAATATAATCACAAATAAACTTACACAAAATTGACCTGAGATGGTGAATGCAGCCAGAGAAATTGTCTATAAATGCAGACACCAGCACCACGGCGGAGAAGAGTCTCATCTCTTCCTCGTTGAGCTGCAGGGCGGTGAGCTTCTCGCTGAACTCAAACATGCAGTTGAGCAGCTCTCCGGCGCCCATGGAGCGCAGCAGGTCCACGCTGTACGTCCTGCCACTCAGGAACGTCACGGTCCGCTCTTTCACATTGAACAACGGCACGAAGCGCACCATCAGCACCTGCGCGGAGGAAGCGGAGGAGAGCGTTAGGGGTCTGACGGATGCTTGCGCTGTCAGAAACGCACCGGGACTCATGGTGCTTTACCTCGAAGGTTCCCGCCTTGAGGAGGTGGACCTGGTCGTGTTGGGAGAGGTCCTGGAAGCCCGGGATTCGCTTGGCAAATTCCACAACTTCTCGTACGGCAGGGATGAAGCTCTTGGAAAACTCCTCCCAGATTTCATGACCGGGCTTGCAGGGGTCCACGAAGGGGGAAACGCTCATGGGACAAACCTGAGAGAAGACCAACAGAGTCACATTACACCAGGTACACTTTCAGAGTCACTTAAGAGCTAAAACAGCTCTGCCCCCAAAGCTTCATTCGTGCGCTCGACACAATGGCTGTTTAAAAAAAATAGAACAAATGATACATTCTTTTGACCAAATTCAAACTGTTATTCAAACTGTAAAACAGTATGGAATTTATTCTTTACAGAGGACACAATATCATACTTCACTGCTTCAAGCTTGAATTTTATATATATATATATATATATATATATATAAAGAGAAATTCAATTTTTTATGTATTTCTGAATATTATCAAATTATTAAAAAATATAAATTAATTTAATAAAGTATAATACAATTATTTTATGAGATTTATTGAAATTATTTAAAATGATTAAAAGCAAAACCAATATGTATTTAAAAAAAAAGTGAAATATAATCACAAATAAACTTACACAAAATTGACCTGAGATGGTGAATGCAGCCAGAGAAATTGTCTATAAATTTATTTATAATTTAGAAAAATAAATCATTAAAAAATTACATAAATTATAATAAGAATTTAGAAACACTAAATTAATCATATAGATTAAATAAAACAAATTAATAATATACATTTTTTAATTTATATTATAAATGCAATTATTTAGGAATTATTGAAAATATTTTATAATTATTGAAAGCAAAACAAATATGTAATACTGGTAATATTTTAACATAACAATTGTAACATTTTTCTCAATTAGCTTTAATATTTTAATTTTAGTTTTTGTAATTTTGTTATGTGCTTTTGTCTTTTTAAAAATATATTTCCATTTAGTTTTAAGTTTTAGTTTTGTTCATTTTAGAGCTAATTTTAGTATAAAATTACTTCGTTTCCAAAGCAACATTTTTTTAAATTTTCATTTAAAAGTTTTCCATCTAATATTTCAGTTTTATTTAATTATCTTTTTATTTTTTATATTTTTAATAGTTTTAGCTCTAGTTTTGGTTAACAACAACAAAGCTGATCCTAAGTGTGTATTGCTAATATTGATGTATAATCAGCAGAAGGTCACTAACCAGGTGTCCTCTGTTTCCTCCAGTCTGGACTTCGTTCATGTTGTTTGTGCGGTAAGGCAGGTTTTCTGGGCTTCGACGGCACTGCTGGGTCACGTGTTCCCTGTAAGGTCCAGCGGCGGTGCTCTCGTTCCAGCGGCTCCAGCATTCCCGCGGCGGCTTCTCGTCCTCTTTACTGCAGCTGCTGAGCGTTTCGGAGCCAGCCGGAGATGCGAGGGGAACGCGTCCGGAGCTCGGCACGTCTTCCTCCCCGCTGTCGGACGAACAAGACGAGGCTGTGTCCATAGGGACGGCTGACTCCGAGTCCCGGGAGAGATCGGAGGAGGAGCGCGGCGAATCTGGTGGCGACGGCGGGGAGGAGCTGGAGTCGCTCTGGCTGCTGTCGATGGCGCCGTGAAGCATGTGCTGCAGCTGACTGTTGTTCATCATGTTATTCATGGCCGTCTGCATCTCCAGGAGCATCCGCTGCTTCTCCCGCTTCGGGATGCGTCCGAAACGCACAGCTGGAAGAGAGATTCACCGCATTTAGTTCTTCTGCTCTGGACTACTTTTCTACAAAAAAAGGTAGTTGTGCAAGTCCTAAAGTCAACATCACAAAAGCTTGAGCTCATATATCTGGTAACTCACCGTCTCGGGACATCCCGACTGATAAACACTTCTTGAAGCGGCACTGCTGGCAGCGGTTGCGGTTTATCCGCACAACAGTGCAGCTTTCTGTCTTCAGGCATTTCTTATACTGGATATTCTGCTGGATGCTTCTTCTGAAGAAGCCCTGTAAAGAAATATTAAAAAGTATTAATGCAATATTATATATATATATATATAACATATATAATATTTTGAATTATATTTAATTATATATTTTTTATTTTATTTCATAGCTTTATTTTTATTTCAGTTTTAGTTTTAATTAATAGTTATTTTAGTACTTTAACTTATTTCAGTTAGCCAAGGTGTTTTTTTTTTAAGTAAAAAATAAGTATACTAAGTATACATTTTAGTTTTTTTTTTCACCTTCTTTAAAAATTTAAAATAAATATATGTATATATATATATATATATATATATGTGTGTGTATGTAATTGTTTGTATTAGTTAATATTAGCAGGGTTATTATAGTTAACTAAAACTAAAACCATAAAAAAACATTTCTGTTACTTAAAATAAACATTAACTGAAATAAAATTTGGTAAATAGAAATATAAAATATATTTCAGCTATTTGTCCAGGCAACATTACTCATTTTAATTTAGTTTAACCTGATGTACTAAAATAACTAAAACTTAAATAAAAATGAAAAGAAATTATATAGACATTAACATTTTTTACTAAAAATTAAAATTAAAACAGAAAAGATAATAATAAAACCTAATTCAAAATATGAATAAAATCTATAGTAGTATTCAAATATTAATTAAAACTGTAATAGTATCTCAATTATACTAAAATAACACTAACAACACTGTTCTCTTGAAAATATCACATCTGGAAATATTACGGGTCTGTTCCAAATCCCTTTGACTGAAGAGATACATTTGGAATGCAAACTCAAAAAATTGTGCAAAATGCACATATTTCTAAGCTATGCATAAAAAATAAATTGGACGCACAAATAAAGCTGAAAAATGGTGCATTTTGGGGTTGAATCCTCTGCAAAGCAAATAAAGTTTGACTTGACTAAAGTATATACATGCAAAGCTGTAGAATCTGGCTAAAAGGTTCTACATTGTGTGCGTGCCAATGATGCCTTAAAATGCTCTCTTACCTGTACAACACTAGGTTTTGGAACAGAGCCAAAATGTTAGATGATCCTGAGAGATGTGTTTCCTTACCTTGCAGCCTTCACAGGCATGAACGCCGTAGTGGAAGCCCGAGGCGATGTCTCCACACACTTTACACAGCAGCACCATCCCGTTAAACTCTGGAAAGTCATGTAAGAGTTAGTCATACCCAGTGGACAAATCCTGCCAATTTTAGACATCTGAATTACATATAAGCTTATTCAGCGTTCACTCACTGGTGATGGAGCTCTTGGCAGCGAGGGTCTTGTCAGAAGCGTGTCCGCGTGGGTGAGTGTGTTTCAACAGCAGTCCAGCGGTGGGCAGGTCTGTCAGGCGGCTCGGTTTAGAGAGCAGAGGTGGGGAGGATGATGGGGAGTGGCTGTTAGAGCTGTCACTCATGCAGGACTCCGGGCTGGGGGCGGAGCTTGAGGAGCAGACGTAGGCTATCACGCCTCCTTGGAAAAGAGGAAAAGAGGGAATGTTTTAAAAATGCAGACTAAAAAAAAATGACATTAACAAGCGTGTGACCACTTATGCACAGTACTAAACTTGATTTTGAATATGCATTTTCTAGAATTACATGCTTAGTTAACAATAGCCAGGTTAATATAACTAAAACCATAAAATAAAAATTTTTGTAACATGAAATAAACAACTGAAATAAAAAAGAAAAACTTTAACTTTTTATTTAACCTGGTTGCCAACATTTCTCATTTTACATTAAGCTGATGTGCTAAAATAAGAAAAAGAGGGAACTTTTAATAAATGCACACTAAAAAAATTTAATTTACATTGACTTGATTTCAAATATGCATTTTCTAATTACCAATTTTTTTTTACATAGTTAACAATAACCAGGGTTAATATAGTTACCTAAAACCATAAAAAATCATTACTTGAAATAAAATTAACATTAACTGAATTAAAAAATAATAATAATACATTTTACATAAATAAAACAAACGTTTTTATTTGGCCTAGTTGCCAACATTTCTCATTTTACTTTAAGTGGATGTACTAAAATAAGTCAAAAAGAGGGAACTTTTTAAATATGCACACTCAGAAAATAAAATTTTAAGATTTTGACCAGTTAACTAAAATGAAACTAAATTAAACACATTTGTTATAAAATCAATAAAATTTTAACTTTTTTTTATTTCACCTAGTTGCCAAAGAAACATTTTTTTATTTTATTTTAGCTGAAGTTGATGTACTAAAATAAGAAAAAGGAGGAACTTTTTAAAAATTCACACTCTAAAAATAAAAAATAAAAAACTATTAAGTCATGCACCGTACATAACATGCATAAATTGATTTCAAATATGCATTACAGAATAAAAATTTTGAATATTCAACAACAAATCGTTTCATCGACAGAAAACAAAGTCCCTTTAAGATGTAGTTCTATAGTCTTTAAAAAAACAGGTGAAAAACAAAAGTAAATGAATCACATTACAGTTGAAGATGTTCCAAAATATGTTTTACTCGTGATACAATTTGACCTTCGCTGTATTCATTCACATATTGGATAACTGCATTATGAAAACTCATTTCAATAGGCGAGCTGGTCATCTTGGTATGAAGAAGTCACACAAATATGCTTGCATAAAGAGTTATCCTTCATTGTTGACACAATTGTAGAATTATATAATCTTGTTGGATGTTGGATGAACTTCCTCTTTTTGAACAACTCGTGACCTATTTTTAGATGAATGAAACTGCACAGGATTATGTTTAATTACACTAACCTAGTACAGTAACACTACTATGGTATAATAATCATTATACAATAAAAGCGGTACAATTTGATTCCATCGCTTTGTGTGTGTGTGTGTGTGTATGTGAGCAGTCAAAAGATATACAAATACGATATTTTTAGCAGTTAACTGTTCAAGTACGTGAATAAATGAATTTATTCTATACTAACCAGCTGTGCATTCACAAAAGTAAGCAAACATGTACTGTATTTCTTTAAATGGACCAGGGAGGTTACCTAAGCAGCAATAACCATTAGTTTCTCAGACCCACCCACACGTGGACCTCTCATGTTTTGTACTGGGAGAATATCTAGGTCACTAGCTGTCTGCTGCGTCCTCACGTGGTACTGCAGCGAGTCTCGCGTCAGGGCAGTGTGCTAAATTTTGCAACCTTCTCGCCTCCACCAATCAGAGACTATGCACCGCGCACGTCACGGCCAATCAGCGGCGGAGCCCGGACTCCTAGTACACACAGGCACATGACTAGGCAAGGAGAGCCATGTGAACTCGAGCCTTCTAGTACACGGAGTACTGAGTACGCGTGACGTCACAGCCACAGTTTGACGCGCTCTGCGCTGCAGCAGTCACGTAAGCAATGGAAAGCGTGCCAAAGGTGCTTTAAATCACAAGATTTGACCGATGACTCGGTGCAAAACTACACTATTTCATTCTGAAATCATTTTAAACACGTTTTAATTTGACGACACCATAGACTGTGCATCAATAATACATTTATGCATTAAGCCTACAATATTACATTACTTCTGTTTGGTGTCTCATTTTTTTTTCACCATAAACAAGCAAAAACTACATTAATGTACACAAAAATAAATCATTAAATCAGTAAAGTCGGGCTTGAATGTACATTAAAACCATAAATGCAGCAATAAATGCAAATAAAGATGGAAAACAAGATCTTAAATGAAACAACTCATTTCTGATCAAGGGTTTTATAGGGATTCAGCAAAAAAAAAAGAAGCTATTTTTAGCTGCTAATATATGTGAGAGTGACTTCAAAAACATCTCTATAGATATGACATGTCTGTGTGTAGAAATCACATGCATATTCCCTAATATTTCCAGTTTTTCTATGACAGTGGAAATCCTGTATGCTATATATAAAAATAATACATCACTGTAACGCAGTAAAATATTGCAATTGTAATAACGTTTCTAACAATGCTAAATACGTAATGCATACAAATAAGTATAAAAAATACATAATTATAAGCAATAAAATAATAAATGTCTTACTTTGCTTTGTTGATTCCATGTCTTCAGACTCTTGATATCTTATAATTCAGGTGGACAGTAATAATTCCAGTTTAACGCGTAAATTGTAAGTCTGTCAGGCAGCTCAGATCCAGTGTGCGTTCAGATCAGATGCTTCAGCGTTCCATAGAAGCTCTCGAGCGTCGAGCGTCTCTCACAATAGAACGGGACTCCCAGGCTGCGCGCGAGCGATCAGAACTCAATGTTCTGTGGTTCGTGTTTTCGTCCGTGGCTCCGCCCCTCGGTGCGCGACTCAAGTTAACCCAGTGACACACTTTCACCCGGCGAGGCGGACGGAACCCACCGCTGCAACGTGAGGCGCGATTCTGGGAACATGATGTTTTTCTGGAACACCGCCACTCCCCATTCAAAAGAGCTACAGGGCCAGGGACGAGTAATGGGGCGCTACGGCGAGCCGTTTAACATGTATTTCTTTAAACTAACTTGTAGTTGTTATTGCAGGCGAGTTAGTAGCACAGAAAAGTTTTAGCCTTAAGATAAAGCGTGGTGCTGTATCAACTATTTACTCAAGTATCAAGCCAAAAACACACTTGAGCGACTGTAAAAGGTTTTCACATTTAAAAGGAGCCTATAAAGTGTTTTCCTGTGTTTTTGAAAGTAGCACACAAGTAATAGGAAATCTCCACAAGGACGAATGACCACAGCTGTGTCCAAATACTGTTTATACGGTTTAATGGATGTCTATCCAGTTCACTTGGGAGCGTGATTTGATTGGTGCTTGTTCTGGGTGGTTGCTAGATGAGAACAATTCATAGAAAGAACAGAATGTTTCAAGGTTTCAAGTGAATGGAACTTTCCATGCCGCAGTTCAATACTTTTTTCCACATAAATGTCTTTCTTTCAGGACTATATATACTGCAGGGGCGTAGCCATAATTTCAGAAGTGAGGGGGACAGAAATGTTATATATATATATATATATATATATATATATA